AAGTTCTTGCTATCTTTTCACATATATTAACAGAATAACACATAGAGTCCGCTATCGTGGCCCTTTGTGCTTTGACCTGTTGGGGAATGGTGACGAAGGGGAAGCTATCTGAAAATCTGTATCCCCCTCCGCTCGAATATAGACGCATCTTCCACGAAGTCTCTCCTCGACATTGAATAAAACTGGGCGTAAGGTTACTGTAGCCCCGCAGTGTACGCAATGGCACACAGCCGCATCTGTACGAAAGAATGGCGCCCCAACCAACGTCTGCAATTGAAGTCGTATCCATGCGCTAGATGTGAACGATGCAGACTATGCCACTAATTTGACGACAGATGTTCTTACGAAAGCCTGATAGTTTGAATCCAGTCGTATCACAAATTGTTCTTATTCCCTTCTTCCCCTAGTTTCCGCGGTGCAACAAGGTTGGAGCTTGTGTTGCTTTCGTCAGTGTTCTGTGTGATACCCAAGTGTGCTTAGCTACGCTCGTTCGTTCTTTTGTTCTTTTTTTAACAGGACACTAGATCAGCCGTTGTATTTCTAGCGAATATGTTGATTGCTAGCTCATTCCTCCTCTCGACTAGTTTCCATCTTTCTTGTTGGAAAAAACCTACAAGGGATAGTCCCTGTCTAAGATTTCTCACATTGCGAAATCGCCAACGATATGCTCCATGCCATCGCTTTAGATAATTCGAAAGAGAACCACTTTGTTGTGTTTTTCGTTTACTGCGTGGAATCCTCCTAAATACCAAATTAGCCAAGACTTTGACTGTACGTCCAAACAGTTCGGAGAACTTGACCGCCAAAGTTGTAGCACTGGTTTAGCAGCGACCGGGGACTTATTGCTTTTGTTTGGAAGCATACTTTTAGCAAGCTTATGGAGGAATCTTGTCGCTCTGATACTTTCATCCATTTGGCACTCGGATCGGCACTGGCAGAGAATGTACCGCTTCCCACACAGGAACCAGCGATATAAAGAAGCTAGTGACGCGTGATTATTGCAACCTTTGCACGACTACTTTCACTCTACAAGACAACGGAATAGCGTGAGTACATAGCGTTGCCTGGAGCGTCGTAGGGCGCTTTCCTATGCAGTCGGGAATTGCTTGCACGTCGAATCCTGCTGATTGAGCTTGGCGGACGTCCACAAACTCGTCCAAGGCAGCAGCCCCACTGCCAAGGGGGGTGGGGGAGGTCTCTGTTCAGAGTGTTTCCAAGGTTTTTTTTCGCTTCTTTCTCTACTTTCTTTTTTTCTTTCTTTTTTCTCTTTCTCTTTATTATGAGCTGCTCTTTTATGACCGAGCACCTACTACCCGTAGCACTTGGTCACGGGAATTATCTTTAATTCCGCGAATTACTGAATATGTGGTTTTCCACGCTCCCCCATGTCCGTTATAACCTCCCCCACCCTTGAAATGTCAAGTTCATCCTTCCACATCGAAAGGCCCGGGGGGTTTGTAACGGCCGCGCGCGCCCCCCCGCGCGCGGCCCGGCGCCGGCCGGGCCCGCCGGGGGCCCCCCGGCCCGCCCGCCGCCGCCGCGGGCCCCCCCGCAGCGGCGCCCGCGGGCCGGGCGCGCCCCCCGCGCCGCCCCGCCGCCCCGCGCCCCGCGCGCCGGCCCCGCCGCCGCGCCCCCCCCCGCGCGCGCCCCCCGGCCCGCCCGGCCCGCGCGCCGCGCCGCGGCCCCGCCCCGCGGCAGCGTACTCTGCTTACCTCTGTTCTCCGATCGGCCGAGTCTCGCTAATTCTATCGGCGCGCTGGCAAAATATGACCGCACCTACTTTTTAATGATGTACTCCAATTTGCATAAGGCATACGGGCACGAGTTTCGCAGCATATTCGGGAAATCACAAGTAACAATGTAGTAGTTGCCAAAGATATTTGAATGTTATATTGGCGTATTGTCAGCAGCTGTGAAGGTGGTAAATGAAGATTCTCGTCGTGGCAATCACCTCCCCCCGCCCTTGCTCACCACGTGAAGCCTAGCTAAATAGTTTGAACAGGTTTTTCTTATCTGTTACGCTCGTACTTCCTCTACATATCTAACTTGCAATACCACACTTATATCTCCGGAGATTGCAGGCCATTCTTCAATCGAAACACGGCGTAGGATGCAGGCTTTCGTGGAATATTTTTGTTTTGAGACAAACTTCATCCTGCTGCACTGGGCGTAGACATGAACTCAGTTGTCTCTAAACAAAAATATCTCACTAGAAGCCACGCCCTCTCCATTTTGGGATATGGGGCGTGGTTAAAATGCATCTGTTCTAGTTGCAGTGTCTAACGTCCGTCAGTTGAAAACGTCCCTACAATATTTTCAGTACGCCTCGGTGGAAACGCCACCCACCCAAATGGTCGAAGAGGAAATGGAAGTGGATGCGGATGTAGAGAATCACCGCATTCATAGTCCACGAAGAAAACGACCACATCATAACAGCGAGTCGCATATTAGTAGGAAATTAAAACGGTCTTTGGCTATCGTAGCCACTCAGGAGCCTAGTAGGAGTGAGTACTAATGTTCACTTGATTTTTTGAGTTCTAATTTGTTCGTTCATTCACCTCTTGTCACTTCCCCTTTAGGCGCTGTTCGGCGCCGGGGGGGGGGGGGGGAGGGGGCATTTTGCACTTTCGCTGCTTCACTAGTTCCGGCTTACAAGTCTCACTCTGGTGAAACCTGTGAACTCTTGTGAAGCTGGAGCAAGCTCGTCCAGTCACCGTGGTCAAATCTGTCAATTCAAGGAGCTCATGGAATAGCTCTGTAGCTCGACACTTCCATGGAAAGAAGCAACAGTGCAAAATGCCCTCCCCTCCCGTCGCCCGACCATTGGTGCCCTCCTTTGTTTCCTTTTTGTGTAGGAGCCTCCTCACTGTATTATGTGGCAGCCACTTCAGGTTGTATTGAGGTTGCGGGTCGAGTAGCCGGCGTAGAGCTGGAAAACTTCATGTGTCATGGTAGACTGAAAGTCGATTTCGACACTGTTAACAATAACTGCTTTTACATCGGTGGACCGAACGGAAGTGAGTTTTATCGTTTATTAGCTTGTTATACCGTACTGAATCATCTAGTAATGGTATAAGTTACAATTAAGGTGGCAAAAGCGCTCTTTTTGCTTCCATGAACATAGGCCTTGGTGGCAGAGGAAACGATAACGACCGTGGACCGTCTGTCAAAACCTATATAAAAGAAGGCAAAAGGCAAGTCAGAGTCTTCGCAGTACTTGCTCGTCATTTTTGCGGTATGATCCTTGTGATACTGCTTGTTTTACGATTTCTTTGAATGGCTCTAACCTCATGAATTTTTCATTCCATTTTTTTATTTTCATTTCATTTATTCGTGAATTTTTCATTCCCGTCAGTCTTCTCTCCAAGTCTTCTGAACCTCCATATGTTTAGCAAAGCCAAGATTCGCCTTATTTTGACCAATCGTGGGCTTGGAAGTCACCCGGATTACGGAGATTATGTGGTAGTTGAACGAACAATCACCCCATCTGCCTCGACATACGTTCTTAAAAGTATCACTGGTACCGGAAGGAACCAGCATGGTTGGTGGTGTTATTTATTCACCCCAAACTGTTGATTAAAGGACTTGTTGTGAAGTTCCAATGGCACTTTGATGAGAAAATGTTTCAGAGACGGTTGTTTCTAAAAAGAAGGCCGACTTGGATCAGTTGAGGATACGCTACGGTATACAGCTCAGTAATCCTATATTTTGGATGAGTCAAGATAGGTCGCGACATTTTCTTCAACAAATGAAACCCGACCGATTATATAAGGTATTGTTACACTCGGTATGATCTTGATCTCCTATAATCTTTTAACAGAGATCACCTCAGGGAGGGGACCTAAACCAGGCCGTTTGCTGTTATGATTTTAAGAACGACGTACCGCTATGCTAACGCGTTAGGCTGCGTTCATACTTTTCATCAGCGTTTTGAGCGTTTCGCGGGCTGCCGCTGAAAACGCTGACATACGTTCAAAACGCTAGATCTATATCCATACGCTAGTCGCACGAACGCTTGCCGGAAACGATTGAAACGCTGACGCAAGGTGTGAACGCGCCTAGAGATATGAAGTTTCTCATAAATTTGAAATCCTTCACCAGTTGTCTCAAAAGGCGTCA